AATAGCAACCACACGCTGGTAAAACTGGTCGATGGTTCTTCCTCTTTCGAGGGTTGCTTACAAGCAAGCTGATGGAGGGGTCTGATCCCCCAGCAATAAGCCAACACCAATTTACCATCGAAACGAATGAAAGCGAATCTTAGAAGATCTCTAAAAGGGACTGGACAAATTTTATTCGGAAAAAGACCAAAAAAATGATCAAAACCAAAAAAACTAGAAAAATATACGAAAACTTCTGATCATTTGTCTTCCGTAAAATCCGCTTATAAAAAGCTATGCCAAAGATCGGTGTCTCTTCTTACGAAGTACTACGGGGACCATAGAACAATCGTAATCACCAACAGCCGGGAAAACCGGAGAACACCAAGATCACCGGGTTTTCGGCGTGGACAATTGCAACGACCAAAGCTTGTTGGACTTTAGGGTTAAAAGAAACCACAGTGTAGCACCAAGCGAAAGGGAACCAATGGCAAAATAGAGAAATCAGCGGCTGATGACGGGATGAGGATTGTAGCCGAGGAACTTTATCCTTTACGGAAACGAATGCTGAGCACACCGCATAGCTTCAACCAGAAAGCTGAAACTTTAGGAAAATGTTCCCTACTCATGTACGACTAAAATCAGCTGTTTAAAACAGCCCGGGACTCACGTACGGACATGTGAAGGTTTTGGCAGAAAAATCGCTAATCCGGAACTGAGGAGAGGCAGGTGTGTAACGAATAACAAAGCCATCGTTCACAGGGGCTTCTTCCCGTTCGAGAAGAATCTCGCCAACTATCCCCTTCCTCCCTTGGTTCAACGATACCCAATTAATAAGCATTAATAAGATAACGCAGATCTGAGGGAGTTGGAGAGACCATTAAAGGTTAGCAGAAGGTCAGTGATGATGGCTTGTGCTAACCCAGGACAACAACAAAAACAACATCGCTGCGTGCAGTGACAAACGGCAGGCTAAAGATGAAGACAGTGATAAGAACGAAAATCAACGGCTCATCAACGAAAAACTCTTTTGGCCTTCACCGAATTCGTTGTCTATGTACAGCTAATTTTTTGGGAATTATCATTGTTCAATGGTTAACATCCTGGTTAGCCGGTGTGATCATGCGTTTTTGCGCTAAACTCGCAGCAATCAGGCAATTAAGAGCAGGAATGGTTCCTGCCTTGTAGTTTAACATAAGCCAACCAAATCTTCAATTATCAGAGGATTCCCTCCTGTCATGATGATGAATTAATACACTTAGAATACACGGAAGATTAGTGATTCATAGTTTTGTATTCTCCTCTATTTGTACCAGTACCTTTTGCAAGTACTTTTGTCCGTTATCACCTAGTGGTCAGCGTACTAATATTCGTTTCGTCTCCTCTGAAAACGAAGGGATATTTGTTCAGTACTTAGTGAACCTGAATTGCATAAGTGTAAAGACTAAAAAGTTACTAGCTGTTGCCTATAAAAGTATCTTCACACATAAAAGACTTATTCGAAATGTTATTCATACTTCCTTAGTATGCAGCCTGTATATGAGGTATACGACTTCAAGGACCGAAACATTTCTTTCTTTCTAGCTACAACTCTGTTTTTATTACGTGAAAAGTAGTTCAATTCTCTCAAAACCCTCGATGTGGCAGCATCAAACCTTTCAAATCTTAGTGTGGCATACTTCCAGTTAGTACCCAACTCTTATTCGGTATATGTGCGTTACATCTTCGAAGACTGTCTAAATGATGGCTTACTTCTCTCACAAGTATTACTCGTTAACAAGCGGTTCCCATTGGTTGCCGACGAATCGAGCGACATGCCCCGCCCACCGGATTTTACTTTCTTGCATGGTCGCAATAGCATTCTGCACGTCGCTCATTTGACGGAGAGCCTGATTGCTTATATGGTCAGGAGGAGGCACTCAAAGTACCCTTTGTCAGTGGCTTACGACATTTTTACAATCGTGTTTTACATATTTTATGCCGTCGATGTTCTCAAAGTGTCGAACCGGAAGAATGGTGTCCACTTCTTCAGTACAGTCGTGTTGAAAGCAGTGACATACGAATGCGAAACTTGACCACTGACGAAAGCTGAAGAGCAGACACCCCCCCTCTGACGTTACTCGGACCAGATTCCCACACCGATTGCCCTTGAGGGTTTAGTGATCTTGGTGACTATTAACTTTGCATATGGGACCACTCATTCCCGTACTTAAACACCGTTCATCCCTCCACCTCACTGTTTCCTAACTCTCTCGACACCACTCCATGTTGCTTGTTAATTACTTGCACATAATTTGCATAATTCCGAAGAACAGAAACCGATCGCGACGCGACACGCGTGCGTTATTTTTTTGAAGACCGTCTAAATAGTGGCTTACTTCTCTCACGAGTACCATTCGCCAACAACCGATTTCCAGTGGTTGCCGACACATCGAGCGACATGCTCCGCCCACCGGATTTTACTTTCTTGCATGGTTGCAATAACATTCTGCACGTCGCTCATTTGACGGAGAGTCTGATTGCTTATGTGGTCGAAATACCCTTTATAACAGTACTTTGCGCATTTTATGCCGTCGATGTTCTCAAAGTGTCGAACTGGAAGGATCGTACCCAACTCTTCAGTACTACTGTGTTGAAAGCGATGACATACGGATGCGAAACTTGATCACTGACGAAAGCTGAAGAGCGAACGCCTCCCAGTGACATCACTCACATTAACGATTGCCTTTGAGGGTTTAGTGATCTTGGTGACTATTAACTTTGCATATGGGGCTCTACTCATTATTCCCGTATTTAAACACCATTCACCTCACTCTCTGATTGTTTTCTCACTCTCTCGACATCACTCCATGTTGCCTGTCAATCACTTGCATACAATTTGCATAATTCCCAAAGAACAGAAAACGACCGCGACGCGACACGCAACGCAGCCCCGTCGCGAACGCCCCGCTCAACGCGTGCACCCCCAGGCCATCGCGCAGGACGCGGACGCACGCACGCGTTGTAAAAAATGTTCGGATGCGTTGCGGATGGAGATTGGTCGCTGCGGTGGCAATACGGTAGAATTCGTCCTAAGTTCGATGTCAGGTGGCACAGCACTCCGGTTTTCTGGGGTTTTTTTCACGGGTTGATCCAATGGGGCATCTCGGTGGGTAACTTTCCCCGTTCTTCTGGGGGGTTTGGGTGAGATATCTTATTCATGAGAAGTTTTAGGAGAGGG